ATTCCTGTTGGCTCTACCCTCTGCCGGCTTTGAGGTCTCAGGCAAGCACCTCCCAGAGCCTCAGTTTTCTTTTAAGTAAATGGGACTAGCTATGCTGGGCTTACACAGTTGTTGGGTCAAATGAGAGTGGATATAAAAGGTGTCATACAGCAGAGGGACCCTTGATCTGTGCCATGACGCCAACCTGAAGGTCCCATTGTTCCTCCTGATGCTGGTCTCTGGCGGGGCGGGTGTCTGGGCCTGCAGCAGGTGAGGCTCAGAGAAGAGCATGGCCAAGCGGGCAGACTGCAGGCTACGGAGTCAGGCTCGAGGCCCTCCACTCAGCAAATATTTAACAAGCACCTGGCTTCATGCTTAGCCTTGTGCTCGGTGCTGGGGACATAGCCTTGAATAACACGGGCTTGAACTGCGTATGCCCACTTACCTGCGGAAATCGTGTGCTACTGTTCTGGTGAGTGGGCACTTCCCACCGGCCTGGCACGGGCTGTCCTGTGGAGCCTGGCATTTACAGAGCAGGGTGGCAGCTCCTGTCCAGGCCTCAATGGGCTCATTGTACTTGCTTCCTGAGTCTTCTGCCCCCCCACCCCCACCCCTTAGATTTACTGTCAGAACCTGTGTCTTCTGGCCAAGCTTTTCCTGGACCACAAAACATTGTACTTCGACGTGGAGCCCTTCGTCTTTTATATCTTGACTGAGGTGGACAGGCAGGGGGCCCACATCGTCGGCTACTTCTCAAAGGTACTGGGTCGGGAAGCCGAGGTTGAGGGAGGGCAGTGAGTATGAACTGGAGCAGGGGCCGAGCTCCCCCAGAGTCCTGACCTCGCCCCTGCAGGAGAAGGAGTCTCCAGATGGAAACAATGTGGCCTGCATCCTGACCCTGCCTCCCTACCAGCGCCGCGGCTACGGAAAGTTCCTCATTGCTTTCAGTGAGTGGCTCCCGCTCTGTCCAGCAAGGGGCCCCGGTGGCGGAGGCAGAGCACTAGGGTGGGTGGGTTTTCAGGACCTTCTGTCTCCCGCTGCCAGGTTACGAGCTATCCAAGCTAGAGAGCACAGTAGGCTCCCCTGAGAAGCCATTGTCCGACCTGGGCAAGCTCAGCTACCGCAGCTACTGGTCTTGGGTCCTGCTGGAGATTCTGCGAGACTTCCGTGGCACGCTGTCCATCAGGGACCTGAGGTGGGCCCTGGACCCCGGCCCTGTCATCTCAGGAGGGAGGCTTCCTGGAGTTGTCCAAGAGGGAAGGGTTCTCCTGAGATTGGCCATGATCCTGTCTCCTTGTCCCCTTTTGCTGTCCCAGCCGGACCCCACAGGGACCTCCCAGCACCTGCTCCAATCCCTTTCCGCAGCCAGATGACCAGCATCACGCAGAATGACATCATCAGCACCTTACAGTCCCTCAACATGGTCAAGTACTGGAAAGGCCAGCACGTCATCTGTGTCACGCCCAAGCTAGTGGAGGAACACCTCAAAAGCGCTCAGTATAAGAAACCACCCATAACAGGTAGAGGGGGCGCCTGCATGTGTGTGTGTGTGGTAGGGGGTAGGTGTGAGGACAACTGGGAGCCAGAGCTCCTTTTGCTGTCGCATGATCCTAAACCAGTCTGACCAGCTTCCAGGACCAAAGCCTGGGGCAGGCTACTCATGCCTGGGCTTCCCTGCCCTCTCCCCAGGATCAAGTCTGCCCTTGTTCTCACCTGGTGAAACCTGGCCGAGGCCCAGAGGCCCAGCCCTGCCTCTCATGTCTCTTCTCCCCACAGTGGACTCTGTTTGCCTCAAGTGGGCGCCCCCCAAGCACAAGCAAGTCAAACTCTCCAAGAAGTGAGTGGCCTGTGCCCCTGCGGCTGGACCTGTGCCTCCTTCCCCAGCCTGTAAATATGTACAGCCTGTTTCATCGTTTTTTAAAATAAAGTAAGTTCTGCCGGTGGCTCTGGACTTTGGAGGCGGGAAGAAAAGGCCAAGAGCTGATGTTCTTCATGGCATGTCACACACACAGCCAGTTATGCTCAAAACATTTTATTCCTTCTTGCTCCTTCTACCCTCTGCCAGATCCAAGCTCGAGCCCAGTTCCGGTGGGGGCTCAGTCCTCCGGAGTCCAGAAATCAGGGCGCAGTGGGGGCTTGGCAGCCAATGGGGCAAGATTGGGGCCTTTTTTGTCCTTGGAAACATGCTGCTCAGAGGCAACTCCAACCCAGAAGACAACAGGAGGGCAAAGTGATGGGGCTCATCAGGCAGAGCATGTCGGGCACGGGAGCCAGCCCTTCAGCAGCAGTCAGCATGGCAGCTGCCCCGTCTTCCCATTTCCTGAGGCTCCTTGGGAGCTCCATAGGAGCCCAACCAATAGGCTTGTGGACAGCAGGTGGCCAGAGGTTCTAGCCAGTAGCACAGCTGGAGGCATAGCTGGAGGTCAGAGTGTACACAGTAAAACTGGCTCTGGATTAAAGTCCCAAAGAACAAACCCAGGAGTGGGGGCTCAAAGGTCACGATGGTGCCCTGAGCTCCTACAGGGTCCTGGGAGGAAGGAGTGACTAGAGCCTCAGGCCCAAACAGTGTCGAGGAGGGGTCAGGTCCATTCCTGGGAACAGGCGTCCGTCCTTGTGTACAATAGGGCAGTTCTAGAAACAGGGTCAACCCCCGGGTGAGTAGCTCAGTGCTCCCACCACGGCTAGAGGAGGCCCAGGATCAGGGCTAGCGATAGCAGAAGGGTGAGCCCCAACAAACACCGGCCTGGAGCAGAGCTGAAGGCCACGTGGCTTCTGCAGAGGTGGATGTCTGGCTGGGACTCCTGGAGCGGGGGGACCACCTGAGGCTGGAGCTCCGCCACGTGGTGGTGAATCCAGGAGGCATAGCTGGAGGTCAGCGTGTACACGCCAGGCCTGTTGGCGGCCCCACAGGCATCACCCCAGCTCACAATGCCTGCCAGGTACCAGAGACCCCCAGCAGGGCAGGAGAGAGGGCCCCCAGAATCACCCTGAGGAGAAAAGCCATACAACAGCTGTCAGGACCAGGCCCCAGGCCTCGAGTCACCCATGCCAGCCCTCATTTCCCCAGATTCATTTGTCCCACTGGACCCCTTGCATTTACCTGGCAGGCATCCTTGCCCCCCTCTACATAGCCAGCACACACCATGTCCTGCTGGATAGAGTGGGGCTCATTAGGCTTGGCATTGATGTTGTACAAGCAGTTACATGTCTCCCGACTGATCAGTGGCACCTCAAGTTGCTGTAGTATCCTGGGGGCCTGGAGGCTCACTGTGGGGGCAAAAGATGCTTAGCCAGGGCCTCCGACCCTGAGTCAGGCTCCCTCCTGCCTCTAGACATCAGTGCCCACCTCACCTGAGGGGGCCACGTGGCCCCATCCAGTCACAGTGCATTGGAGGCCGTTGGGGAAGGAGGCGTTGGCTGCAGGGAGGCAGATGGGCCGGATGTAGCGGGAGAAGGTGATGGGGCTGCTGAGACGGAGGAGTGCGATGTCCCCCTCGGAGCCCTCATGGCGGTAGCTGGGGTGGGAAATGACCTTTTCCAAGGTGCGAACCTCGGCCGCAGGGGTGTAGGAGTCCAGCTGGTGGGCCCCTAGCTTTACTTCGTAGTCATCCTTGTGGTGCTCCCTGCAAACAGGGAGGACAAAGGCTGGGACCCAGGAGACCTGGCTCCTTGATCCCTGTGGCATCCAACCCCAGATTCTGATCCCAGCAAAGGACTTTTTGCATCCCAAACTGTGCCCTAGTTTTATCCTGTGACTTGTGACCTCTGACCTTCATTCCTGACTTATCTTTCAGATTTCATTGATAACCCTAGACCCAATCCAAGAACCCCAACCTCTTATCTAAACTGATACCTGAACTTTGACCTCCAGACTACCTTTGGCATCCCCACCTTGCCCCAGCCCAGTTGGTACCTTGGAAAGCAGTGGGCAGCCGACAGTACCCACTGCTCAGACACGAGAGAACCGCCACACACGTGAGTGCCATCAAAGAGGATGCTGACCTGCCAGGGCCACTGGCCAGGGGTTGCACTGTTACCACCTGTGATGCGTGCTTGGGAGGCCACACCGCAAGAGGCTGCCCAGGGAGGGAGGAAGGGGAGGGGGTCAGGCCCTTCTGGGTCCCCCATACCTTGTTCTTAGCCCTGCCACTCCCAGTGAAGCCCAGGAGATCTGGTTTGGAGCCTGGGAAGTGAGTTCACAGAAGCCGGCCACCCTTTTGTCCCCACTCACTGCTTTACCAGGCACGGCCAGTTTTGCCACCTTGACCCATTCCCTCATTCAGGTCTCTTACAGCTTCCTTCCTTCCTGGACTTTGCCTCCTATCCAATCCAGCCCTTATAAGTCTGAAGATTTTTATAAACGAGAAATCTGGCCAGGTGACACCCTCTTAAATCCTGGTTTCACACTGCCCTTAAGATAGATCCCAGACCTCCCACGACAGTGCCATCCACCTGGACACTTCCTGTCATAGACTTGGAAGCACTTATTCACCTATGGAACTTCGCTCTTCAAGGTCACTACCTAGAATTCCTTTCCTCAGCCCTACTTTGCTCGGCAAATTTCCATTTGCCTATGGCAGCCCCTCCTTGGCCTGCCCTGACCTGCTGCCTGAGTCAGGCAGAGCACAGAGCTCCCGGGCTGTGCTTCCCTGATACTGCCCCGTCACCGCACGGCCCGGCACTCCCCGTGGCCCAGGCCCTGCGTGGGGCTGGGCACGAAGATGGAGCTGTGGATGCGGCTACTGAACAAAGGAACAGAACAACTGGCTCCCACAGCCTGAGGGCCACCCTGCCCTCACTGAGGCCAGCAGTTTGGAACAAGACCAACTGCCCTTCACAGAGTCACCTTCCCAGGAGCAGAGAAAACTGCCCAGCCAGGCTCCTCCTCCCGTAATAATGACAATAGCTGCTATTTAGGAACTTTAAACAACGTGAGGCCCGAAGGGGCTTTCACTTCCTTTATCTTCAGGCCTGCTCCATCAGCCTCATCTTAGAGGTGAGCAGGGAGCCAAGCACCCAGCAGTAGGCGGGGAAGCCGGGACTCAGTCTGGTGACCTGCCTTTGAAGGAAGGAGACCTTTGGCTTGTTTCCCTCAAAACAACTCCAGCTCTGACAGGCTGTGCCACTCACTGGCTGTGCGCCTTCGGGCACATCACTTCTCTGCATTTCGGTTTCTGTATCTGTAGAACTCGGGCTACCATCCCCGTCTCACAGAGCTACTGTGGGACTTAAGACATTACGGTGCGTGAGGCAGCCTGGCAGAGAGGTCAGGCACTCATTAAACACGCCATGGGAATCTGAGTCTTCCTCACCTTCGGGCCCGGCCCCCTCGGCTCCTGGAAGGCAAGAAAACGAGGGAGGGGTGAGCAGAAAGACCCGGGCTCCCAGACTTCTGAGCACCTGCCGCTTGTCAGGAGAGCTGCCCATCCCCCCAGGAAGTCCAAGCGAGGCAGAGAGAGGAGCCAGGAGCTGGGAGCGGGGGCTCTTGAGCCAGGATAACCCCTCCCCATGCCCTCTGCCCGTTCAACTCACCCAGCCCGGACCGGAATAATCCAAGCAAAAGCAGGATGGCAGCGGCCTCCAGCCGCCCAGGCCCCAGGCCTGCCCTCTGGGCCATGACCCGGGGTGAGGGCCCCTGGGGAGCCACCAGACACCCAAGGGAAGGGACCTAGGGCTGGATTCGAAGGCAAGATTCAGGCGTCCGGCCCAAAGGGAAGGAAGGGCTGCTGGAATCCGCGCGGGGAAGGCCGGAGCAGGTGTCCCAGGCTGGCTCCAAGGGCAGGGCGCGGGCACCGAGGAGACGACGGCAAGCCAGCCCTCGGAGAGGACACGTCTCCAGCACTGCCTGGCTGCGCGGAAAGCCGCAGGTGGCCGCTCCCGGGAGAAAAGCGCCTACCTGTCCGCCCCGCCCCTGGCCCC